ATAGAGCAATTTCTGCTTCTTTATCATTAGCGATAATGATCATGGTGTCTTTTGCCTTCCATGGCAGTTTTTCTTCAAAGAGAATTACACATAAAGATCAAAGAAAGATCAGAAATAGATATAAAATAAAAAAATATATCACAGTATCAACTTTTTAAAAAATTATTATTATTAGATTTTTTTTTCTGGTGCCCTGAGGCAGATCTCCTAGAGAGGCTCTGGGTTAATACTGATTGCCTCTGTGACTGCTGCCATAGTAGGTGAGATTCAACCGAAATAAACAAACAAAACTCAGTTGACTGTATATCTCAAAAAAACCACCAACTGTCCCTTCCTCCAAGTGGAAAGCTAGGTTTAAAGGGCACTTCTAACACAGGAAGGGAGAAATGTCAAAAATGTTCAAGTGATTAGCTCTGGGATTCACTCCAAACTTTCTTTTTTTTTAAGATGTGTCTGTTTGGGTTTTGTACCTTAAAAATCCTAAATGCTGTGCTCTTTCATCTCAAATAAACACACAAAGAAACACAAATGAAGCATAATAATTATAAATCTGAGAAGCTGAAAGGGGAACATAAAGCAAGAAATAAAGGTGAAGAAAGACAAGAAATGATGCTTAGCCTTTCCTGATAGTGACTGTTGAGTCTTAAAGATCAGTATTTGTTTGTCAGACACATGAGAGTGGAATGGCCTTCCTGGCAGAGAGAATGAGTAGTTCGTCAATATCCTAGCTGTTTACTGAAGTGAGCATAGCCCAATATGCCTGAGGCTTAGGCCATATTGAGAGAAATGGGGCAAAGTTAATAAAATGAATTTGAGAGCTAGTCACTGATAAGATCTTACAGCTTCTAAAAAGAACTTGATAAAAAATAACACAGAAAAATCTATTCATCATCTTGTTATCAAAAGGGTGTTGGCCCACAGCATCCCTTTCCAGCAGGAAGTAGCTAAGAGAATACGCCATCCCCTTTTCCTTATGAATCAGGGTGAAGTCTCTCTCAGGGAGGAGTGATAGGGAATGGCAAAGGACACACTGACAAAGGAGATTAATCAGAACTGACTTTGACAAGCACTGTGGCAATTGGACAATTAAAACAGACATTCGGATGGTGGGGGAAGAAGAACAAACTGGGGAGGAGGGTAGAGAGAATGGTGCAGCAAAGAAGGAATGAAAACCCAAAATCCCTGTAAATCTTCATTAAAACTAATAAAATTTAATAATAAAAAAGGGTGTTGGCAATAACATTTGTTCATTTTTCTTTTTTTAATAATTTTTATTATAATTGTGATTTTATTGAAAGTTTACAGAAAAGTTGGATTTTTGTTCATTCATTGTTGCACATTTTATCCCATCACCCTCCCCCAGTTCACTTTTTTCCTTTCATTCATTCATGGTTGCACAATACCTCCCTCCCCCACTGTTCCCTAGTCCTCTTTGCAAAGTACCTCTTATTTTGGGCCATTATCATATGTACAATGCCTAATCATATATTCCTTCTAAACAGTTCTTCGCTTCATCTATTCCAAAGCAGTGCTCATTATTTATCCCCTCTTTTCTTAGTTTTCCCCCAACCCCCATGTCTGTCCTGTTTTGTAGCAGTGGTGTTAAGCAGTATTTGTCCTTTTGTGACTGAGATTTGTTACTCAATATAATGTTCTCGAGGGGCAATAACATTTAAGTAAATAATATGCTCACAATCATGTTTCAGATGATAGTATGAAGGACAGATTAGTAGGAGCTGAGCATCCCAAAGAGTAGTAATTTAGTTAACAATTCATTTTGCAAAGAGCTTCCTCCAAAAAGGCAATGCATCTACTTCCTAAACCATGTGCTTTATTTATGTACGTATTTTAGAGCATGCAGGTAAGTTGGTTTTCAGGTATCCTTACTGATTGACAAGAAGAGTCTTCCTTAATAAGACACTAACACATCATCTTGTACAAAATATGAGTAGACGAGCTTACGACTCCACACTCAGGGCTGTGCCACTCACTCTCACCACATCCTCACTTGCTCTGTGGTCCAGAGTGAGTGAGCATGCTCAGTGGGCTAAGTAGCATGCTGACCAAGTGCTTGCCATCTTGCTGAGTGTCAGAGAGGACAATAGCCAAGGCCTTGCTCTGTATGTGCATTCAACCTCTCTGTGATCATGCTGAGTACTCCACATCTGAGCTTGGAAATGATTCTGCAGAAGACCCTCATCTACTGTCAAAACCATGATCCTTACAGCAGGACTTTGACTGATTCCTAAGAGTATTTCCCAGTCTATGATGTGAAAAGAAACTTGATTAGGGAATTATCAACAGCTACATATAATCTCTTTTAGCCCTTCAGGATTGATGTAAACCTGTCCTTGGCTTTTTATATTAGTGGTCTTCCTGTCAAACATTCTTCTAGGTGGTATAGCACTGGTCTGTGCGTTGCTGTACAGAGGTAACTCGTGGTTGCTGTGATGCTGAAGCCTGTGACAGTGATGTGCCAATCGTGGTAATGGGCACCCATGGTGGACAGTGTTGGCTGCAGCTTCCCCACTAAATCAAGCCTGGAAGCAGGAGTGGCATCCACTTCCAAAATGCCTTGCCTCTGGAAACTCTATGTATGAACAGTGCTCAGGCTTTTCATTCATAGGGTCGCTATGAGTCGTCTACGACTCGAGGGCATTAAACAACAACAACAACATATATAATCTGTACCTGGGGCCTGGAACCTCCACTCTGGGACTTTGTTTGATCCACCAGATGGCAGTCCTGATTGTCATGTGAGAGAAGTTTTTGGGGTAATGTCTGATGTGTTTTACTACTTTTTTCCCTTCAAGAGTGGGTGTCCTTGAGCCTTTGTCTAGGGTGGAAGTCTACTCAAAGGTGTGGCTTGAATATTCCTTAAATGAAACAGCGATCTTTTGTCTATTTGCTGAACTGGACAACTTGATGTTGCTGTGATGCTGCACACTGTTCTTATAGTCTTGTCAAATACCATAATGGTTACCTATTATGTATGATGTATGGATGAGCTTCCAGATTGATTTATGCTGGGAAGCAGGAGTGACATCAATTCCTAAACTAGAAGCCTCTGGAAACTCTACAAACTCTCTAAATTCTATAAATGTACAGAAATGTTGTTAGTTATAGAACAGAGTTCAAGTCTTTTGTACGAAACTTACTCTCAGTTGAATTCGACTTGACGACACTTAGCCAACTGTTAAATGAAAATAGTGCCGTTATATCTGGAGGAACACTCTTCCACTTTGTAAATCACTCTTTGTCAATGTGCAATATGAAATAACCTGGGTTACTGTGATGTTGAACCTTGTACCATTGGGGTATCAAATCCCAGAATGGTTTCCCAAGGTGGACAGTGTTTGGTGGAGCTCTCAGCTGTGAAACAGGTTTGGAAACAGGAGTGGCATCCACTTCCTAAACCACATGCCTCGGAAAACTCTATGAACTTGGAAGTGATGATAGTTATTTAAAGGCATTTGGTCTTCTGTTCATAGAGTCACTGTGAGTCGCACTTGACTAAATGGCAATCAACAACAACAACAACATACAAGCTACTGTGCAGACCCCAACATGAGTACTTCTTTAAATAGGAGGGCAGGAAAGAGTCAGGAGCAATTACACTTTGCTCATCATCTGTAGTTGTCTGGGTTTCCCAAAAGGAAATTTCAAGCTTTTGTTACTAGAGCTGCAGATTTTCATAATCCATAAATTTGGGGCAGGGCATCAGCTTCATAGAAAATCACTGTGCTAATGATTACAAGAGCCAAGTGGAGATAGAGAGACAAAGGCCTGTTAAAGGAGTTAAAAGGGTAGACTCCAGGTTAAATAGGGTTTAGTGACTAATTGAAAATGGGAATACTGTAGATATCTGACTCAAGAACTTAAGTAAAAAGAAGATCCATCTGAAGAGATGAAATAGAGGTTGATATGTAAGCCAGTTTAATAGAGAGTTGACCTAGGAATTTGGAGCTCACTGAAATAATAGTTTAAAATCAGAAAGATGGATACACTAGCCCAGACATGAAAAAGAGGTAAATTAAATGTAGGAGTGTTTAGCAATGGAAATGAAGATGTGGTCAGAATTGAAGAGTGAAATTGAAACCAAGGAAGTTGGTACACAGCATTACCCCAAGAAAGATCAGTAAAATGAGGACTTGTTGTCTACTAGAGTTGGAACCAACCCAGAGCGGACCCTCTGGTGGGCAGAGGCAGTTAATCACACAGGTAGAGATTGTTGGTCCTTCTCCGGTACAGCAGCTGGTGGCCTCGAACCGCATGCCTTCATGATTGCAGCCCAGCTTTTGGCCACCAGCGTGCCAGTGTGTTTATTTTATTTGGTTACTAAAAATCAGTGGAAGCAAGTTCAGAGCCATTTGTTCAGAGACATTGTAATAAAGGTAGAAATCCACCCCCCATCCCCCACCCCCAGTGGGATGCTAAAGTGGCTTTGAACTTGCTTCCACTGATTCCTAGATGCTAGAAAAAGAGAGAGCAATGCTGCAGAGTCCTCTGAAAAGCTCACTTTAAGAAGAGAAAAGCAGGATTTGGTAGGATGACTTTAAAATGAGGGCAGTGCTACCATTGTGCTTTGTTTTGGTACAAAATAGAAAGCAGATTAAGGGTCAAGGAATAGGAGTAGTTTTCAAGCACAGCTGAAAGAAAAGGTACAAAGTCCTAGATTCAAGCTGTTGAGCCACCAATTATAAAGTAAATGGCTCAGTAGCAAGAACACTAGATTCAGCATTAGAAAAAAAAATGAAATGTTAATGAATTCTACCCCCATTCTAAGTACACTTTACAAAGAAATTTTACTTCTTAGTTTTGCAAAATATGAAAGCTACTATCTACATTCTAACATGGGGTGAGAATACTACAGGAGAATGTTTGGTGCCGCATGTGGTTACTAAATGGTGATTATCTCATCAAAGTTCTAATTGAGACCATCATTGCAGTTGCTATTGCTTTCCTTACCATTTTTGTTCATATAATTTTTATCTCTTTAGGAATTTGGTGACAGGCCCTGTTAGTCTGTCCCTCCCTTATTTGAAGGACAGGCCAAACATCCAAGAAATGAGAGAAGAGGACTAGCTGGCTCCATCCATTGATCCACCAAGAGGCACAGAGACAGGATCCATGAAGATGTTGACAAGACTCCAAGTACTTACTGTAGCTTTGTTTTCAAAGGGATTTTTATTATGTTTAGGGGACCATAACTTTCTGAGGAGGGAAATTAAAATTGAAGGTGACCTGGTCTTGGGGGGCCTATTTCCTATTAACGAAAAAGGCACTGGGACTGAAGAGTGTGGCCGGATCAATGAAGATCGAGGGATCCAACGTTTGGAAGCCATGTTGTTTGCCATTGATGAAATCAACAAGGACAATTATTTGTTGCCAGGAGTAAAGTTGGGTGTTCACATTTTGGATACATGCTCAAGGGATACCTATGCATTAGAGCAATCACTGGAATTTGTCAGGGCATCTTTAACTAAAGTGGATGAAGCTGAATATATGTGTCCTGATGGATCCTATGCCATTCAAGAAAATATCCCACTACTCATTGCAGGAGTCATTGGTGGCTCTTACAGCAGTGTTTCCATACAGGTAAGGTTTGATCAATGCTATGTCTAACCCACTATGTCTTTTTGTTTATAATGTCTTGAAGGAATAAAGTAATAGTCCAGTAACTCCATCAATTTGTTGATTTCTGTGGAATTTTTAAATATGTGCTTGTACACATGTTTCTTTACCAATGACAATTTTTTTCAATTGTGACTTTTAGATGTTACAACATAAAAAAAAACCCTACCCTCAAACTGAGTAATTGTTATTTTTACAATTATTTATATGAAAGTTTACAAGTCTATAGATCAACTGCAGTGGAATGAGAGGCTAGTTACCTAGGCCTGGTCCTGCCTTCAACTGGAATCCATGGGCTTGTCTATATTTTCTTCTCAGAATACTGCAAAGAGGTGAGGGAATGCAATCTCAACCATACAAACCCTTACTAAATTCTCATTTGCATTAATTATACAACATTCTATTGGCCAAGTAACTGACAAGGCTTAGGAGAGTCATGGGAGAGGAAAATATATCACAATAAGAGTGCTGCAAAATTGCATAGCGAAGGATGTGCGTATAGGACATTAGCATTAGTGGTAATTAGATGGCATTGATGCAGTCAACCAGTCACTGAACTTTGTTTTGTTACCCCTCATTTTTATTAAAGCTTTTTTTTGTTCACAATTACAATACTTTCTAAGGTATAAGGCTGAAAATGTATGCAGAGAAACCAAATAATTATTTTTTTAAAGAGACTTAAAATACACATCATTTAGCACCCAGTTTAAATAGATTAAAAACTATAACTGAGTTTTATAATTTTGCTACAGAAAGGAGGAACAGATTATTCAAATTCTTGCAATCCTCACATACTGGATTATTGAATTTTAGGGATAAAAGAGAGTTGAGAAGTCATTCGTTTAACCCTGAGATTTTCTTGATCACTAGAAAGATTGAGTTTCCATAAAGATTGGTTCTAAAAACATTTGTGGGGGAAAACCCATGAGTATTTCACATAAGAACAAGAGTTCACATAGGCCTTTTGTATTCTTTCAATTACGTTATATTTCTATATGTTGACTGAAGTTTAGTTCTGTTTTGGTTTGGGGTTTTGTTTTGGTTTTTTGGTCAGTATTTTTCTAATGTTCCAGCAATAAATGTCCATGATTTTAAACTCATATACTATAATTCCTATTGTACTTCCATAATCAAAGTCCCAATCCCTGAAGGAAGTTTACTATACATACATAGTCTTTATGTAACAAACCACTTAAATTGGCTCTATTTGCATTGGAATAACCTTATTTCTCTGTCTGAGATTCATGACATTTTTAATTCCATGTATAATTTGGTGGTATTCTAAATGAGCAATTTCCTATTTCTATCCTTCTTCGGAGCATACACTCATATTATGAGTAATTAGGGTAATTGGTTTTTCATAAACATCCTTTGACTTCATTAGCTGGGTAGAAAATATTGCACATCTTAAAGCATATCATGTTAATTATGCCACTATTTTTACACTTGGATCAGGAGAAATGGAATTTGCTATTTTAGAAGATAGAATTAAGAATATCTGTCTTACTTAAGCAATAATTTTACCAGGTGAGTGCCAATCATTTTAGAAATGTTCATACTATTCCCAATTTTACCATTAATGAGGGGCTAAATAGATACCTTTTTCCCCCCTGGCCATGGGTTCTCCTAGTAAAGTTAATAATACCCTAAAGTAGACAGGGAGCTCTTGTGGCCTACTGGTAAGAATCTGGGCTGTGATCCCAAAGGCATGTAGTTCGCATCCACCAACTGCTCCTCAGAAGGCTAAACAATCTCTTCCTGTGCAATTTATTGCCTCTGAAAACCTGCTGGAGGGTCAGCTGTGGATCAGTCCCTCCTTGACTACACACAACAACAACTACAGCAGATATGTAAATATCTGTTAGGTCTTGGGATATCACAAACAGTTTATTATTGACCACTACTCTAAAGGTTATCAGTTGGGACCCACCTAGTGCTACCATAGTATAAAAGACCTGGTGATGTGCTTCTGTAAAGATTATAGTAAAGAAAATGCTGTTTGACTCTAACACATGAGGTTCCTTGAGGTGAAACTAGACAGCATCACGTTAATCTGAAGTGGCAAACTATACCAACTACATAGATCCTTTTATCTAATTTTACTTTACTAACAACATCAAGTTCATAATATGCCCCACTGACAACTGAAAGCTCATTGGTTTGAATCCAACAGATACTCCATAGGGCAAAGACAAGCAATCTCCTCCAGGTTCACAACCTCAGAGCTTGAGATAGAAGCTCTGTAAGTAAGAATTGACTAGACAGCAGTTAGATTTTTACTATGTACTCTTCAGAAGAGATAAGATTTCTTTTTCCAATTTGGGCTATTAAAACTGTACATATTCATAAGGGAAGAATTCACTTCTTATCTTGAAGGGGCCTTGCTTAATATTTCATTTATTTAGCTACATCAGTATAAAGGCCACCAATCCCATATGGCTTTAATGTTCTATAGTATAAATTAGGGGTATCACATACCATAATGGTTTCCCATTGTGGGCAGTGTTTGGTGGAGCTCGCAGTTGGAAAACAGGTTTGGAAGCAGGGGTGGCATCCACTTCCTAAACCACATGCCTCTGGAAACTCTATGAACTTGGAGAAATGATGACAGTTATGGAAAGGCATTAGGTCTTTTGTTCATAGAGTCACTATGAGTTGTGTTCGACTCAACGGCAATCAACAACAACAGTATAAATTAAAAATTCAAAAAACCATCAGGCTGCAATAGAAAAAGTGCAGGTTGTAGCAAAGGAAAGAAGTGACTTTGAATTCAAGCTCCACTACTTTTTTTTTATCTATGAGGAAAATTACATCTACTTCTAATAGCTGTTGATAGGACAGTTGAGGGAATTTATGGAGGATGCTTGTGCTTTTCAAAGAATCTACGAGAAAGATGTGCAATGTCCTTCTGTGCAATTTGCAGTCTCTGAAAACCTGCTGTAGGGTCACCTATGAGTCAGTTCCATTTCTGTGAGTCAGCAGTGAGTTAGAGAGTGAATAAATCAACACTCAGAAATGGTTAAGTGTCACGCCCCCTCAGTTACAGGAAATACCAGTGAAGAGCCACATCTAAAAACGACCCTGTGGCCTTCCCAGCATCAGAACTTGGGAAGTCACTTGACATCTTCACTGCTCTGCCCCCAGTCCTGCACCTCAGGGCTTAGGCAGCAAGTCAGTGTATCTTAAGCTCCTAGTGCCCGTGCTGCACTGAGATGGGGGTTGATGAGAACACTCAAGTAATATAGACTAGACCTTTAACCACAAAAGACTTCAAATCCAGTGATCACTACTTGTTGCAATATGCTGACAAGTTGGAACTGACCCATAGCTGACCTTCCAGCAGCTTTTCAGAGGCAGTAAATCACACAGGAGGTGACTGCCTATCTTCTCTCTCTTCTCCCCCTGACCCCATGCAGAGCAGCTAATGGATTCGAACCTTGTGCTTTTGCAATGATAGCACAGCTCCTTATCATTAGGTCCCCAGAGCTCCATCACTACCACAAAAAAAAACAGTAATTACAATTCAGAATATACTCCTGTGACTCACAAGCTAAGAAGTAAAGTCTTGAGAATAGCTGATAAAATGAAAACTGCAGTGGAAGAAGCGTAACATGGGACACTATGTGAACGGAGGACTAAAAAGAAGGAGGCTGGATCCCAGGAGGCCAATCAGTATGTTGTGGCAGATGTCCATGTGCACAGGGACAAAAACCTTGACAAGAGTAAGGGAAAGAGCCAGAGTCTCCACCCCCTCCCGTGCCCTCAGGTTTCCTGACTGCTCAGGTAGGAAGAGGTTGGAAACTGGCCCTCGCTCAAAGCAGAACAGGGAGATGAGGAATTCGTCCTCTTCATGGACATCCAAGTACCTTTCCAAAGATCCTCACATGGCCTGGCTTCCGATTACGCACCAGGAATGCAAAAAGACATTAGACTCATTCATATAACTAAGAACTAAGTTCTACGATCCCTTTTCAAATCTCTGTCTTTTAATGAGAATTCTAAAAAAGAAAAAGAAGCCATTAGCAATTCAAAACAATAGATTTCTAATTGTGAAGTAAGCCCATCTGTGCACAAGTGTTTTAGGAGTGATTTTTCTGGATGTGTTTCAAACATAACTATTCCTGATTCTGTGATTTTGGACCTTCGCCCTAGTGTCTGATAACCCATGAGACAGGGGTGCAGAAAGTCAATGAACACTTGTAATCATTTTTAACTATTTTTGACTTCCTGAATATCTACTGCAAAGTCTCTTTCCTCGGACAGCACAAGGAAATAAGGTGAGAAACTGTATGTGTAAGGTGTGAAAAGAAATGTACTAAAGTGAATCTACTAAGTAGTTTTAAAAATCCCTCCTAACTCTTTAATAGCATTCCTTGGCAAGCCAGAGCAAGTTTTCAGACACAAAATTGCCTATTGAGAGAGGGAACTTAGGGTAATGATAATATTTGTGTCTCCTCCCTTTTTGTGGTTGGATCAGTTTAGACCCCAGAATCTCCTGCATTTTGGCCTAGAATGCTTTATCAGTCCAGTTGTTTCACAAAGTACTTTCTCTCCAGCTTCCTCTTCTTTCATTATCCTACCGCTGAAGGAGAAGAAATCTCCTAGAAGTCGGCAGAGCAAACACTGTGTACGTTCATACAATAGGGAGCATGTGCAGACTCTGAAAACTGCATCAGATGGAGAATTCTTAATGACTTGTTGGATTAAGCTGTATTATCATTGATGAAAACCTGGATAATTATTTTCCTAACATTTTTATTAAGTAAGACAAGCCACTCTGTGGTGGTCCCTTTTACAAAGCAACAATATTGATTTCTTAATTCAGTAACCAATGAATGCTAGCATCAAATTGCTACTTTATCAGCAAATATAGTGAGATCTAGCCAAATGCTCTGGTGAATAAATGTCATTCCAAAGCATACTCAAACTTGCATTCTGCTTTCTCTGTAAGTCTATTCCACCCA